AGCCCCGGGTCTGGGTTCTGTGCCCTGGGAACTCTGGGAGCCCCATGGAGCTGGCTGGGAGTTCACCTGCCTCTGCTGAAGATCCCTGTAGAAAGCCTCTCACCAGTTTCCCGGGCAGAGGATGCCCATTAGAAAGTTCTCTCCATGAGGCCAAAATTCCCCTCCACCACATTTGCAGGTGCTTTCAGCCAGAGCTAAGACACCAGCAGCCTTTCACCCCTAAGTGGTGGACACTCCTGCGTCTCCTCTTGGTCTTGCCCTGATGGGCCTTCAAGTGGAGTGCAAGGCAGGGCAGGCAGCGCGCTGGGAGTGTTCCTAATAAGCCTCTCGAACCGAAACCCTGGGATTCAAGATGCTTCTAAACCAGCGGCTCTCAGCCCAGTTTTTACACAAACACACCTGCTACCTGGCACATTCATCAACAACTAGTGGCTTGTGAACAGAGGGTGAAAGGTTCCCTTCCAGGCCCTTTACCTTATAACCTGGCAGGCGACACCCACAGGCACCCCAGACACAAGGGGCTGAGAGCTGGAAACACAACCTCAGGGGACTTCAAACCCAATACGGGAGGAAAGGAAGGTCCTGAAATACCTAGAAGTTTCTTACTGTCCAGTTTCTGCCGGTTGAGGGGGTTTGTGCCGTACAGGAGGGTGTGGGCTTCCGAGTGCACCGTCTGCAGCTCCTCCAGGGTGGCCTTGCGTCCGCGGATGCACTGTGGGGACAGGCGAGAGGACACTCATACGTTCTGCAGAAGCTGCTGCTTCAGCTCCACAGACAGAAACTCCAACTGAAACCACTGCCCACAAGGAAACTTAATTTGATACACAAACAAGCACGTTATTTGGTTATTGCAAAATAAGAAGCAACATCACCCAACATGATATTTTAAAATATTTAAGAAATATTTTAGAGGGCTTACACTTAATTATAGCTTTGAAAAAACATTTTAAAAGATAATTCCAGCCTTCAACGCATTACCCTTCACTGTCGCACAAATGACTTGGCATCAAATTATTACTTTGCTTTCCAACTGCCAGGGTCTGGTCTTAAAATAGAGGTGAGCTGCCGCGCTTCCCTCACGTTCAAGGGAAACCCCAGCCGTGCTCCCGGAGTCTCTGAGCCCCAGGATGAAGCAGTCTTCCTTGGACCGCCTGGGGCCACAGCCGCCAGGGTCTGGCATCTGCCCTGCATGGCTAGCTGGCGTCCGGCTGCGTCTCTCTGTGGTTTGGAAATTCCTCAGATCGAGATCCCTGGGCTAATTCAGATTTTCTCCAGAAAGTCACAGGAAAATGAGAGTTCTTCAGTTGAGCTACATTCATTTAGCCTTTTAAAGGGGACGATGGCTTCAGACATGAGATTCGAGTTAACATTTCACATGGAAATGGCTCTCAGAGGGTTAGGCCACCCCGGATGAGTCAGATGCCACACAGGGGGCCCCGGTTGTGGCCATCACCTGCTTCCCTCAGGCCGGAGCAGGATCTGCTCTCTGCCTTCCAACCGCAGCCCTGCCCCGGCATCCACTGAGCTCCTGCAGGCCTCACTGCCCACCCTGTGTGTGAGACTTGGGGCGGGCGAAGCTCGGGGGCTCTCTATGCCAGCCCAGCACCTGGGGCTCCTCTCAGACCACCAGGAGCCATGGCACACAGCCTTCCTGCAGGACGCAGTGCACCTGGGAGTCCTGTCCATGCAGGGCGGAGAAGGAAGGGGTGGAGCCAGGAGAGCTCAGCCTCTGCCCACAGGGGAGGGACCTCCAGAGGGCAGGTGCCCTGGGCAGGGGAGGCTGGTCTGCGGGTTCGCTCTTCATGAACAACAGTTTCACAAAACCGGGCTTTCTCTATGAAGGTCCCTGGTTTAACAAAGACAACATGTGACACGGCTTCCAATGGTAAAAAACGACTCTACGGTCCCACCACGACCTAGCGCTGCTTCTACTCTGGGGACATAAGCCGAACGTCCCTGGAAAACCAGGCAGGAGGGATGCACTCCCTGGGTAGGGGTCAGGGTGCAGTTGGGGCCCCGGGCAGCTGCGGGGGCTTCTAATTTATTTTATTTTATTTTTTTTGAGACGGAGTTTGTTCTTGTCGCCCAGGCTGGAGTGCAGTGGTGCAATGTTGACTCACTACAACCTCCATCTCCAGGGTTCAAGCGATTCTCCTGCCTCAGCCTCCTGAGTAGATGGGATTACAGGTGCCTGCCACCACGCCTGGCTAATTTTTGTATTTTCAGCAGACATGGAGTTTCACCATGTTGACCAGGCTGGTCTTGAACTCCTGACCTCAGGTGATCTGCCCGCCACGGCCTCCCAAAGTGCTGGTGTTACAGGAGTGAGCCACCACACCCCAGCTGGGGCTTCTCATTTCCAGTGATTTCCGGAAGCCCCCATGTGTGCACAGGCATAGGCAGCTGTGGCCAGGGCCAAGTTCCCTCTGGACAGACAGGCCTGGGCAGCCCACGCTTGGGAAGGCCCCTGTAGGGGACCAGGGTTGTGCCCTGTGGTGCTAAGAGGCAGGTCATGCAGTGTGGACTTCAGGTGAAAGAACGGCAGGGCCCCGGCAGCCATGCGTGTCCTCCTCACTCAAAAGCGACCCACTGGGTAAGAGCCTGAACTGCAGCAAGAGAGACTGGACGTTAGACCACAAATTAAATTCACAGATTAAAGGTGATGTTAGAATAAGGCAAAGAAGAAAAGTAGAAGAGCCCCCTGCCTACAAACACAAGAAATGGGGACAGAAAAGACACAGAATCAAAGCCCAAAAGCCCTGCGACACCGCGGCGGCTCAGGCTGCAGGCCCATGACACTGAGATGGCTCAGCCTGCGTGGCAGCACTTGAGAGGCTTTTCCAGAGCCGCTCTCGGAGCGGTGGCGATGGTGGCCCCTTCCCACTTTCTTGGGAGGCCGACCTCGTCATTTCCATCTCCCTTTAATTCCTGGGATAAGGCAGGAGGAGTCTTTGTTCCTCACAGAAAACAGGCTTGGGGCAGGGTGCAAACCCCAGTTGTGACCCTGGTCTCTGTGACATCTGACTTCCAGCCTACTCCCTTCTCCTCTCCTTCCCGGACGCCATGCCTGGAGGCAGGACAAACCAAGCTGGGCACGCGAATTGGCCAGGAGCTGCTCTGGCTCCCAGGAAGCCTCTGCAGGAGGGCGGGGCCTGCACACACACGTGGCTGTACTCAGAGGACCCCCCGACTGCTCAGAATGTGTGAGGCAGCTTCCCGAGGCCTGCCCAGCTGCTCCAGAGTGAGGCAGGGAGCGAGACAGCTGGACCGGGGGCCACGTCTTGCTGGGCCAGCCTGCCAGCATCGACACGGTCCCAAGCTCACAGAGATCTCCCAGCCCACTCCCATCCCTCCTCACCACACGAAGCAGTGTGAGGGGAGGGCCTCACTCCCCAGGCCTCCAGGCAGTCATCTACCCACAGGAGGGATGCTGACCGTGAGGCCCTGCCCTGTGAGGCCCTGCCCTCCGGCCTGGGCTTCAGTCTTGCTGTGGCCTCCATGTGGTCTGTGGACTGGGGAAGTCACAGCCCCATCCACCCCATCTTCTTCTATCAGGTACCCACTTAGCGAACCATGCCCCATACCCATGGCCCCTCTGCTCAGCCATCTCAGGAAGCCAGTGACCCCCGGCTGGCTGGCACTGAAAGCCTGGTGGGTGACGTCACGTCCCCTTAGGCTGAGTTAGCACATCGCTCGCTCTGAACCTGGGGGGCACCCGCACTGGAGAGCTGCCCCACGTGTGGGAACAAGGCACTACCGTCCAGGGAGCACGGCCTCCACGGCCTCTGTGGCTATCCCCCAGTCACCCGTCTTCCCCCAGCTCTCCTCTCCCTGAGATCCTGCCAGGCCCAGGTCTTGTTCCACAGCCCCAACACCTGGGGACCCGCTGCCAGCCCTTGGCCCAGTTGTGGCTGGCACCTTTACCCACGGTGCCAAGGGCAAGCAGAGGAGCCGAGGGCGGGCAGAGGAGCCGAGGGTGGGCAGAGGAGCCAAGGGTAGGCAGAGGAGCCGAGGGCGGGCGGAGGAGTGGGCTGTTTCTTCCAAGGTCTTTGCTTTCTCACTCCTCCCTTGCTCGCATTTGCTTTGCTTTTCTGGCCGAGAGACCCTCTCCCAATCCCCTGGCCTCAGGGGACCCCCCCTGAGGGTGGGGGCACATGTAGGGGAGGGGCAGGGAAGCAGATCATGGAGCTCTGGAAGCCTCAGGAGGCCTTGGGCAGTCCCCGGAAGGGGCAGCAGGACAACTGTCTGGTCCTGTGGAGGGAATGGACGTGGGGAAGGAGGAGTTTCCCGAAGCCAGTGTCCGCTGGGCAATGCTGCCCTCCAGTGGCACAGCCATCCCGACCGGATCCCTGAAGCAGGTGCCAAGACCCTCTGCAGTGGCTCCTTCCCGCCTCTCTCCTCCCAGAGGGCACTGCAGGAGAGGGTCCTGGGCCTGACTTTTGGAGAATTCCCCCGAGAATCATGTATCACCAATAAAACTGGTAAAGGAAACGGGGGTAAGATGAAGCACAGATTGGCTTAAGTTCCCAAATATCCCAGCTTCTAAAGGAGGGGCAGGTGAACCTGCAGAGCGGAATCCTGCAGAAACTAAGCCAGGAGACTGGAGGCTCTCCGTGCCCACGTAGAAAGGCCACGCCACGCCAGCTCCATGTGCTCACTCGTCTCTGCCACGGCCACTTGGGCCCTGGGCTGTTGGGTGCCCAGGGCTGTTGAAGGAGTGGGTGTGGAGGTTCCTGTCCACCCTGTGAGCTATTGTAGGGTGGTGGGAATCCTGGTGTGGGGAGGGGACACAGCAGGTCCCTACTGGTGGGTCCTGGCAGGGGTGGCGCCTTGTGTGATCCTGCACAGTGTCGCCAGCCCCTCTCTACAGACAAAGAAATGGAAATTTGTCCAAGGTCACCAGTTCCCAGACGGGAGTCCCTTCTCTCCCTGCCTGCACTATCAGCAGGGCCTGGCCACACCCTCCTCCCGGTCGAAGAGCTTGAGATCCCCTGTGACAGCTGCCTCCAGGGTAAAGCGCACCAGCTGGGACAGCCTCACCGTCCTGTCCTCCAGCGTTAATTGGCTGATCCTTCCCACCTCCTTGGGCCTGGGAGTCCACTGCAGCCAGGTTCAGGGCAGGGCTCTGGCTCCTATCAGGAGGTGGGGCTGGGCCCTGCTTGTATGAGAACAAGTGAGGTCGCTGCCAACCCCTGGTGGCCAGGGAAACTGAGGCCCAGCCAGAGCTGCAGCGTCCCTTAAGCCTCCTCATGTGACTCAGCTGTGTAAGGGAGCTGAATTCAAACCAGGCCAGGCCCAGCCTGCAGCTCCATTCCCTTCATGACCTACTGCCTCGCCAGCACCTTAACTCTGAGGAGGGCCCCAAGGGCCTGAGGTCTCCCTATGTTCTCGAAGAAGCTTTCAAAATCTTAAAAAAAGAGAAAATTATTTTAACAAAAAGCCAACAGGCCTGATCTGAGATATAATCGGATCTCCCCGTGGCTCCTTCCTGGCCGCCCAGGGGGAGCGTGGTGGGAACTGGCTTCCTCGGGCAAGTGACCCGGAGGCAGGGAGCGGCAGCCCTGGCCCTCGGGAGGAGCCTGCTAGGTGAGAGGTGGGAGTGAAACGTTAGAAAAGGGCACAGACAGAGGCAGCAGCTTCCTGCCCGGGACTCCACGGAGACAGCCCCAGGCTTCTCAGCAGATGGCTGCCTGCCCAAGAGGCAGACAGTGAAGATGCTCATGGCCCTTCCCCTGGGTCTGTAAGCCCAAAGAACCACCTGCAAAGCCAATGCCCTGAATCAAGCAGGCCCATGAGGGTCCCCTCTAGTGGTGTCCAAAGCCGCAGCTGCCCAGCTGCCCCGGCTGCCATTACCTCGCATTTGCCCCGGAGGCCTGTCTCCTGCAGGCGGGACCAGATGCTCTGGATCCTCCCGGCGTGCTCGGGGTGGCTGCTGCTGCTCCCGCAGGTGCACTGGTGCTTCAGCATCAGCGTGTCATACACGAGGCCTGGGGCAAGGCAGAGGGGCCAAGATCAGTGCACATCCAGGGGCAAGCCAACCACCCACTAGCTGGCTGCCCCGGGCGGTGGCAGGACCACACTTCCCTAGAAGGAGACGGAGGCTGGCATGGTCCTTTAGAAAAATACCATGTTTGCCAAGACCCCTCGACTGGCCAGGCCCAGAGGACGTGGACGAATGCAGAGGCCAGGCAGGCGGGAAGGCCTGCCTGTCACTCATGCTCACAGTAGTGCCCCAGGACCCAGGCAGGGACGCGCGCAGCTGCCCTGCTGCAGCAGGCTGAGGAGAGAACAGTGACGAGAAGGCCCGCCCTGGGTGGCTGCACCTTGCAGGGGTGAGCTCCATGTGGGAATCGTGCTGGGGAGGGTGGTGCTGACTTCTAGAAGGAGGCGACTCTAGCCCCCTACCCTCAAAGTCTGCCTGGTCCTGGACCAACCTCTAACTCCAGTTCTGCCGGGCAGAGAACTGTCCAAGGTACTTGAGATTCCAAAGAAACACCAGATTCAGGAGACCCTGCTTTTAGAAACTTCCAGAGCGACTGGAACACGTGTGCTAGAAAACACACGCAAAACCCGTGTACACAGGTCTACTTAACCTCTGACTGTGAACAGAGGCCAGCCATGTGCTCCCCACAGCACTGAGCTCAGCATGGACGGGCCCCCGGGTGCAGCAGCCACAGGAGAGGCTCCTGGTGGGAGCCCCAGAACCAAGTGGGCCGGCAGCCTGGGGCTCTGCAGTAGGAAAGGCGACGTGCCTGAACCCGTGTTGGATGCCACCCTGTCTCAGTACACGTGGGGCTGCCGTGAAGGGGAGAGTACCTGGCCTGTCTGCAGAGGCTACAAATGGGAGGGAAGGCCAGGCGGCCCTCCGGGACACAGCTCTGCCACGGCCCCTTTTCACAAGGCCTGGTGACATCTGGCAGGAGGGCTGCCCCGAGGCCCTGCTGGGACATGTCTGTGCCTCACACACCTGGTCTTCCAGGACTTAACAAAGGGAAGGCCAGGCTGGCTGAATGGATGCCTTCAGCAGGCAGGTCACTACCCAGGGGCACCTATGCTAATGTGGGTTCACCCAGGTGGATAAGGGCGGGGCACTTGGTGAAGAGCCTGGGCAAGCTGCCCAGACGGACCCGCTCTAGCGCTTCAGTGTGCTGGCCCAGGATGCGGTCCTCCCCACATATGTTCCCATTACTGGGAACAGAGGCAGCATCCCCAGCCAAGGGGAGCTGAGATTCAAGGTGGTCCAGTGTTTGCAGGGTCCAGCTACAGGATACTCTTGGTGCATATTAGTTCCCATACTTCCTGGCTCAGCCTCTTGTGAGTCAGACTAATAGGAGTCAGTCTCCTGCACTTGAGGAATTTTGGGGGTACTTGCAAAACAGGGCTGGGGGACGGGACTTCTGGTAAAAAAAAAAAAGGCAACAGGGTAGGTGCAGGCTTATAGGAGTCAACAAATCTAGGACTCACAATCAGTACACCGTGTGTGGGCATGAGTGTGCTCGGGAGTTTGTAATGGCAACACAGACACATAGGCAATGACGGACACAGTGCCATGAAATACACAGGTGTGTGTGCAGAAACAACCAGTTGCTCATGGATACGAGGAATGGGGACGGCCCCTTTCAGTGGAATCATGATGATAAGGTCACATGTGCTAATATTTACTAAGCACACGGCTGGAACCTATGAGGCAGACGCCCGCTTTACTGCCTTTACAGACAGAAACGCTGGAGCGCAGAGAGATGGAGAAGCGGCAAAACCCACACAGCTGAGGGTGGCAGAGCCAGCCAGGAGACCACGTGACTAAAGGAACGCGCTGCGTCGCTGTGCACGGACACAGGAAGATGGCTGAGAGTGTGAGGTACTAACAGAAAGCATCAGACACAACAGAGTCCCGTCTCTGTGAAACAAATTATGTTTGTGTCTATCTGTCCATCTGGCTATGCACAGAAATAGATCTGGAAGATTTAAACCAAATACTAACAACCTGCCACCACTGGGGAGTGGGATTATGGGCAAATGGTATTTCCTGTGGGTTTCTATCATGTTTGTTTCTTTACAATGAACAGGTACTGTTTTATAAATTTGTTTAAAAAGTAATGAAGACAAACTAAGAAAGGACAACAACGAAGTGGGACTCCCTGGAATTCTCCTGGGACCAGTCACGGTGGGCCAGCTTAGTGGGCGAATTCCCGCCTTGGTGGCGGTGACTGGGGTCCCCCTTGTCTGAGCTGCATTCTTTCAAGAACACGCTTACTGCAGTCACCTGCCGAGGACTTGTGGCGTGGGCCATCTGGCTGCTTCTGTGGCCTTCCACAGTTTTCTTTCTGCTTTTCTTTCTGAGAAGCAGCATTTTACTTGCTGGATTACTACGATGGAAGTTTTTCTCTGAATATGAATAGCATCCTTCTAAGACCTCAGAGTGAGAACTCTGCAGACTGCAGAACACTAAGCCATGTGATGAGAATTATCTGAAGAATGAAGCCATGCTGTATTTACAGAACTTTTTTCTTAGTGCGTCATTAACAAGAAATATTAGATCAAAACAATATGAAGAGCTCTCCTGCCTCCGTGCTTGTCTCAGAGGCAAGCCCTGCCAGAAGCCAGCCCTCCTTCCCGCCTCTCCCCTGCAGGGGTGGCTGGGCGGTGGGGCGGCCCGGGACAGCAGTCTCCCCCCTGGCTCCGGGCAGCTGCAGGCAGACGAGTGCAGGGCCCAGCCCCGCCTGCCTCCTCAGCCGTGGTGGACACCTCGCGTGCTTCCTGACTTCTGGTGAGGTACCGTGCAGGGAAAACCAAGGACCCCTGCTGGCAGGTCGCCTCCCCGGGGTGAGGATGGTACGAGGGGTGGCACAGACAGAAGATGTGTGGCTCCCGCGGCATGTCCCAGGGGTCCTGGGCTCTGCTCTCGTGTAATCATGGCCCCCCACCAGCCATTCACAGTCCTGCCACTGGAGCCTCAGAGTCAACGTTGTGGACGTGGGCGAAGTGTGAGGGAGTAAGTGGAGAAGTGTGGGCTCGTGATTCCTAAGCCGGACCAGAAGCTGTAGGCTCTCATGGTCCCACGGGCATGGGCTGTGGACTGTTCTTGGAGGAGACCATGGGTCTCTGGGACAGGAAAGGTGGGCAAGTGAGCCCATGACAGGCCCCCAGAATAACAGAACTGAGGGTGTAGGGCGTGGGGCGGGGAGAGGGCCTCCATGAGAGGCCTGTGTGGTTCCTGCCCTCGTGCCCGCCCAGCCCCTCAGCCTCTGCAGAGCTGGGCTCAGAGTACCCCCCGCCCCGGTCTGTGCCCACTGTGGCCCGCGTCACATCCTCAGGCTGCACAAAGGCCATCTGTTACCTGTCGTGAACCTCGGCTTGGTGGGGGGCTCCTGCACAGACACGGGAAAGGTGGCAGATGCCGGTGAGGACTGCGCCCGGGACAGAGGCCTGTGGCTGCCGAAGGACACGGGGATGCCGGCAGCCTCCATGGACGCCTGGTAGTTCCTCAGCTGGTGGATCCGCTGCTGCTCCAGCAGGAGGGCTTGCTGCGGGGAAGAAACGGCCATGTTGGCGGCTGCAGGCACCTCCCACCGCTGGGCTGCAGGGCTAGGGGCTGCCCTCTCTTGCAAGTCTGCCGTCCATGCACAGGCCATACACGGGCCACAAGGATGCTGGGAGGCCAGCTGCGTGGAGAGGCTTTCCCTGTGAGTGCCCTGAAGCCTGAATGGGCCCAGAGCCGAGAATGAGGCCAGCACGGGCTCTGTCTCCCAGGATGTGGCTCTTTCTAGGGAAAGCAGGTTGTCCACATGGGATCCTGCCATGGGCTTCATCAACAGGATAACACAGGCTGAGTCACGGGGTCCCAGGGAGGCCTGGACAGTATGGGGTATCAACGAGCGCTTCTCTGAGGAGGTACTGAGCCAGGAGCAGCCTGGACCAGGTGCAGGGGAGTGGGGCCTGGCAGGTGTAGAGAGAGGCTCTTGCTGGGGCGGCAGCCTGGCCCTCGCTGGTTCTACTGGGAGATACGCGAAGGCCATGCAGATGTGGGGACCAGAGCACCCACTCTGCCACACCACACACGGGGACCAGAGCACCCACTCTGCCACACCACACATGTACAGTGAGTGGGCATGAAGCCTCGCCCCCTTGTTGGGTTTGTGGGTCTTAGTTTTGACCAACAGCACTGAATCTGCACACTGAACTTGGGTGAGAAAGCACCCTTGATTCTCAGACTTGGAAGTGCTAGCTCGGCTTCATTTGCAGCCGCTCCCCTCCCTGGTCTCACATTCCACACATCCTCATGC